TTAAAAACCATTTACATACCAAAACGTCTGCCTGTTCCAAATTCACAGACCACATCACACCTAATAGGTTCTCCAGAACAGCTGATATTATATGCAACTGTGGCTTTTTATAGCCTTTGTACCACTTGGAGTGATATCTCATGTATCATTATTAAATGTGAAAACAGGGATCAGTGATTCTTATTTTGTGCTTATAGTTATAAATGTACTGGAACAGGCTATATTATTTATTAATGAAAGAATGACTAACGTATTTGTTCTAAATAATAAGAATTAGTAAAAAGACATAAAAAATGAAAACTTTAATTGCATTTGACTGTGTGTAGAAGCTGGCATAGTCTGTTGCCGGGCAGTGAGAAGCCTTCATAATCCTATAAACTCTTGTTCTGCATCTTCAGGTGAATAATGTGAAGACTGTCCCCAGTGGGGTCTGTGGATTATCCAGAGTAACAGGAACACTGCTCCTATAAATACATATTGCTTTTGAAATATCTGCATAGCATTTTGAATACTGGGATTAGCTAAAACCAAACTGTCTGACTGGAGAAAATAGCTTTTTGTGATTTTTGGTGATCATAATCATTAAATAAAAAAGTACTTTTACAAAAAATTGTTTTATTGAGCAAAACTGAGAGTGACAAAGACTATGTGTGTATATAGAAATTAAGAAAAGACATTCTAATAAACACTGCTGTGTTTTTAATGAAAATTCCTGGGTTTATGATCTCAATGAAGTTAAATGAAATTTATGTACTAAAATTAAAGTTAAACAAGCAAAAAGCCTGTTGTTGAAGTCTAGCATGGACAATCTAAGATTTTTTAAAAATGTTTCATCAATATACAATCTACTGAAGTAACAGTACCTTAGGCTTAAATATTACTTTGGATTCACTGAAAAATCTGTGCAAAAAATGAGATGATTTATAGAAATACAGAAGAATAATAACTTTAGGAAATTACCAAGACTGGAAATACAAAGTGAAATGTCTCCAATATAATGTGTAATGAACTATTATACATAAAAACTTATTCAAAAAAGAAACGCTTCAGTAATTATGCCACACTACAGTGACTGGTTAGAGTAATGAGTGATATCTGTTCCTTATAATCAGTGTAGCTGTAACTTTATTTTCACTGTGATGTGGTGTTCATAATGTTGAATAAAATTATTAATAAAGTTATACTCTAGGATTGGTTCTAACATTTGATGGAATTAAGTACTTATCCAGTAGAAGATTGACACCACGATTGTTGCTTATTTAACCTGTGTGTTCACTTTGTTTGTGTATGACTATTCTATCATATTAGAAAAGGAATAGTTAAAGATTTTATTTTAGAATACATAAGTTTACATACCTATATGTCACAGTTATGTTTACATAGTTACATATCACCCTATGTGTTCACTGAACCACTGGTTAATATTTACTGTGTGAGTCACCGAGGCACTGTTCAACATTATAGGGTCTTGTCCACTAAAGTACTGAATCTCATTAGATTTACAGCTGTGGCTAAGAGAGTCCACAGTGAATTTATTATCACCACTGAGCTAGTGGAGCCAGGGGAGTTACGGGTCACTGGAACTCCAAGATTAGTTAAACAGAGATTAGATCTGGAGGCTTGCAGAGGAGAAAGCTTCAATGGTAGGAACATTATACACCCACACACACACAGGCAGAACAGTTTTAATTAGTGAAACAAAGAGCAATGCCTAATATGGAGCAGTTAGTTGGAAACAAAGGAAGAAGTGAGTGTGTATGTAGGAATTCAGGCAGTATAGATATTCTTCCCCTTCCTAGGGCGCTGTCCTCGATGATTGGAGCAGAGAGGACGTTGGAGGACGGATGGACTGAAGGACCAATGGAACAGCACGAGAGGCACCAGATTAACCCACATCACACATTTCAAAATTGTATTAATTACTGGGTTCAGGAAGTATAGGGGCTCCTCTTTTCTGAGGAAAGACCGAGCCACACCTGTGTTCTTTGGAATGGGCTTCAGAATAGTTGGAACCCAGAGCACTCTGTAATTGATTTTCTTTAACATTGTAATAAATATCTTAAAGGTTGTTCTGACTTCGACTCTTCCTCAGAAACGAACATGCAGGGTGGTTGAGTCCAACAATACATATGTTTACAATTAATCATTGTGTGGTTTCCACAAGGACTCCAAACAATATTAAGGTACAGAAAAACGCTGTCTGACACATCTGAAGAGGAAAACCAGCTGTGGCAGGCAGTCAGGGCTGTAGTCTGGGTTTTAGCAGTTGCAACTACAAGCACTATAGTTACAGTATCACTTCCCAATAGCTCCAGGCCCACCTGTTGGTGTGCATTAAATATGCAAATGATAACTGTTATAGCTGTGGGGGGAGGCCATCTCACTGATGAATGAAGGAAACCTCAGTTATGTCAAATGAAGAAGAGGAGACTCCTAATAAATTCAGTTTTTTAAATGCTAGCTCAAACTTTCTGTTTAAATGGCTAGACAAATGGGTTTAATGTTACCTTCTATCTCATATGCCTCCATGTTTGTGAGTGAATATTAAAGATTATGATTGTTTTGTAGGCCTGTTATTCAAAGAGATTCACTTATTTGTCTGGTTATCTCGCCATAGTGAACTGATATTTTGTGATCATCACAACACATAATCATTATTTCATTGTCTCCAGAAAAAGTTGTAGACTCATCCATTCATTATTGTTCAGTACGTATCCAGGTGGGGGACCTGATATGCGACCCTTCCAACTGCTTTATGAAGGGGACATCCCAACCAGAGGCCCAGATTACCACTCTGAGATCCACACCTTGTGATGTCAGCCCAGATGTTTTATTCTTTCTATTTTGAGGAAACTCTTATAAACATAGGCCAACAGTGGAATGTATACTAAATTTAGTTCAATAGCGAGCAACGAAAAATGGCAAATGTAGTATCTAGGGTTTTGGACCTTAAAAATCTGGATAAGTTGACCTCTACTACTTTGATTTTAATCCACTTCTTCTGAGTCTCCCAGCTTTAAGGAAGCACTAAATCACTGAGGTAATCTCAAAATAACAAAATAATAAATAAAATATTAGAAGCAACAATGAATGGTCAAACAGAGAGTAGACTGGCTGCTGGAATGAAATTAAGACATAATATTTAGAAGAGCAGCAGTCATAGAAGTTCTAGGCAAGAGCGATTTAAGATTTCTGAAAAAGAATAGTGCCATATTGAATCTGGCTTTATTCTACCCATCCATTATCTACACCACTTATTCCTGAACAGGGTCGTGGGGGGGCTGGAGCCAATCCCAGCTGACATTGGACAGGGTCCACCCTGGACAGGTCGCCAGTCTATCAAAGGGCCAACATGTAGACAAAAAAATCAAACACTCACTCCTACCCAGAGAGAACCCATGCAGGTACAGGAAGAACATGCAAACTCTGCACAGAAAGGCCCCAGGTTAGCTTGAACCCAGAACCTTCTTACTGAGAGGCAACAGCACTAACCACTGTTCCACTGTACCGCCCAGCTTCAGCCTGATTAATACAAAAAAATAAACACACTGTTAGAGAAGTGACTATCCAACATACTCTTTGCTTTCCCGTTGTTGCTTGTCAGTCCTTGTTATTCTATTTATCTGAATACAATTATTTAAGTGAAGTGTTCTTAGTATTTGTAGAATAAATCAACAGTACTAGTAAGACTGATTGACATAACCACAACATGTGGGTCTAGCAGTGCTAACACCGATGCTGTTCATGACATGCCAGAAGTGAAAGGATTGGATAACAACCTGGTGTTTGCATGTAAAACTTATTGGGGCATTCACATTTATTCATACATATCCGCTACCATTAAGAGATCTGTTGTTGTCACCTAAGTATCTGAGTTGTCAAGCTAAATAGGAGTCCTCTCTTAGCCCTCTTTAAATGGAATCCCAATTATAATGAGCACCAAGAGTCTGACAGGAATAGTCCTTTCCAGATTACATCCATATTTACAGTTACTGACATGTCATGACACCACAGTGAGCAATGCATGT